TATTTTTAAGAGTGTATTTCATTGTTGTCCATGGTAACACTTTCAAGAATTGCATGCGTTTTGTATTAAAAGGATGTTTTATGCTAATAATGTAAGTGGATGAATCTAAAGAAATGCACACAACAACTTATATAAAGCTGCTTTGTTTAAACATACATTTAAATGTTTAGATAATTTGGTTTGTGAGTAGTTGCAAATAGTTGTGCTTTTAACACCTGTAACTTATTTTAAATACTTCTATTTTTACATTTAAGTACATACTTGTGGACTTAGTTTATTGCTTCTGAAATGTCCCCTTATTTTCTCATTGAAAATAGATTGGGAATTAACACATGCTTAATAATAATTATTTTATTGAATAAATAAACTTTCATTTATTAACTAATAAATAAACATTTTACATAGATAAATCATTTTTTTATGGCCCATGCACTTCTTGTTTTCTGTATTCAATCTGTTTTTCGTTTCTATCCCGTAAAATATGACCCATTTTACTGCATTTCACAAATCAAACAAGTCATCATGTCTACTAATATAATTTCTGAATTAAAAAATTCAGACTTACCCAGAACCGTCAGTTTGGTCCCTTCTCCAAATTCTAGTTTAGCGTAGCTAGTACACGATGATTTATCCCGTTACCTAAACCTCAACAACTAACAGCTAATAATGGGCAATGGTACACTGTTTTTGGGGGCCCCTTTTCAGTTTGAGACCATGAAAGCCATAGTGGCCTCCCAGCTGTTACCCAGAGAGGCCTCTTCTGAGCAGCAGGTATAGCAGACTGAAATTCCGTTTTTTGGTGTGCATTTAAATGTGCATTATGATCTTAACAGTAATTAAAATGAACAACAATGGTAAATATATACAGTGGCCCCAAGAACAATCAAAACACAGAAAAAAGGATAATAAAATACCAAACCAAATATCATCTGCAGACAACTGTAGAGCTTTTCTGAGAACTAACCCCACTGCTCTTATTATTTCTGTAATTACTTTTAAACAATTAACATCCAATAGGTGTAGTTAATCATTCATTGTACTTTTATTTGACAGTGGTCAAATACATTGTATTTTCATTTTAAATAATGTATTTTTTAAATGGTATTAAAATAGAAGAAGCTCAGGGTTTTAACTGTATATAACTGTATATATTATATAACTGTATGTATATAATAAAATAGAAGAAGTGTTCAGGTACAGTTCTGCAGCATTCAGTTACTCATTAAAAAAAAAAAAAAAAAAAAAAGTTGTTTGTTTTATCCAGTTATTTAAGTGGTGGGAGCCTAAAATATCAATAAATAATAATCTATAAGTGCAATGAGAAACAACTGACAATGTGAAAATTGTTTTCATTTTTATTTAGTTGATAGAACTGTTCATTTAAAGAAGTAAAAAGTTATTTATTTCTAATAACAATGTTTTAGTGACCAGAAATAGCTATGCACTCACTAGGGGGCCTCTCTGGGAATACAAAGACCACATAGGCTACAGAATATAATCAACCAGATGCATCATTGTTACCATGTTGTTACTTGATTGAACGCAGTTGGGAGATTATTGTCAGTCCTATGAAGGTTATTGGCTACAAACTGACTTTTACATATATGTATTTTGCAGAAGCTTTTATTCAAAACAATTCAAGGTATAGTTTATCTGTGTTCCCTGGGAATCAAACCTGTGATGCATGCTCTACCAAATGAATTACAGCGAAAATAAAAGCTATCAAAATAGCTAATTGGTGAACAATGTTGCTATAAAAATAAATGAGAATTTTCTTTGTGGATAATGTGTTAGATTTTATTTTATTTATGTGCGAAACAAATTGAATTAAACACAAAATACAGTAGCTCTTATTGTGAAAAATAATGAATTATATTCATCTCTGTAAAGTCTCTTTTAGAATTCTATGAAATTAACACTAAACACAGTAGCAAGGAAACAAGCAAAAGAATAATATATAATCAAAAAGTAGATTTTTATGATTAATCTGATCTGAAGTATATGCAGGCTTTCATTGGAATAAACACTCAGAAAATAAAATAAAATAATAGACTCTTCAGTTATATAAACAGCATCTCTTATGGTTGGAGAAAATGAAGTTTTCTTGGCAACTCCAACAATCCAGATATGTTTTGTTCATTCACTTTCCACATGAACCCTGAAACAAATATTACATAAACATTGAGACATTCAGAGAGGGGGGGTTATCTATCTATAACATCCATATAATGTGTGGATTTTTCTATTGTACTAACATATACATGTGATTTGTATAACATTTGACGCTTATGTTGTTAATATTCTTCCAGCACTTCTGTTTGAGATTATGGATTATAATTACAAGTTTATCATCCTTACCTTTCTCAACACGAACACAAAGATGACAAGGCCATACAGTGCACTCTTAGCAATGAACACAACGTATGCCAGCTTCATCGTCTTCGATGATTTTAAATAGTCTTCTGGAGATTAAAAGATCAAATCATAGCATATTATTCAGCATATCATTACTGATAAACGTTTGACCCTAATTCATCTTTTGCAGATAGACATAAAAAAAAGGAAAATAACAAACCCTTACCTGGTTCATATCCACCCCCTGTAATTAGAAAATAATTCATTAGAAGACCCAAATATTAAAATAATTTTAAGCATGCAT